AAGGGAATATCAGCTTCCCCTAAAAGGTAAAAAAAAAATATGAGTGATCAAATACTGTATATACTGTTGTGAGTACATGTCATTGACTAAATATGTGCTACAATGTGCTCAACTTTTCAGAATCAGCTTCTTATCACTGGTAATGACGTGGCTTTCCTCTCTCTCATTCCCGCAGCTTCACGGTGCTTTAAACAGTGGACGCTGAGCTTCCACAAAGCTCAGTAGCGATGCAAAGACTGCAGCAAAATGACATGTCATTGGCTAAATGCTGGCTTTGTCCCGCCCATCAGATGCTCAGCGTCTCTGAGGGTCTATGGGGCTGTGGGCTGGCCTTGGCCGGCCCCAATCCCTTTTTGACTGACAGCGAAATGAGCTAATCAGCAATCTTTTGGTGTAAACATTTTGTGGGAGCTTTTTTTTTTGTTTCGTTTCTGTTCTGAGTTGAATCGGTGACTTTATTAATCCATTTAGCAGCATTTTCTTTGTTAAAAATGACTAGCGACAAATCGAGCTTCTACTTCTGGTGGTTGTTTTGTAGCTTCTTATGTTTGGAGACGGACTTCTATCACTCTTTCTGACTTCTTCTGTCCAGCGGCTGCTGCTGAGCCCCTTCACCATCATGAAGCACCTCACAGGTGGACACACTTCACACTAGCCTCGCACCAGTCCCAGCTAGCGAGCAAGCTAGGTAGCAAGCTGCACGTAATGGCAGACAGTTTGAATGTTGTGGATTGGATTTTGGCAAAGCCATTTGATAGTCTTCCTTACGAAGACAGAAAAACTTAAGAGTTAAACTGAACAGCAGGGCTGATCAACTCCTCAGATAAATTTGGTGCAAAAAGTGGGGAAAAGTAAGATAAAAAAATCTTTTTATTTATCCCACAGTGGGGAAATAACAGATCCTTTCAGCTGTCCTGGTATGACAAAGTGAGCTGGCTGTTGTAAAAGACTAGAATAATCTGGAAAATGATTATAAAAGCGTTGGATCAATTAATTCCTTTTAAAAAATGACCAACGCAAAATTGTTAAAGAAATGTGAAATTGTTTCATTTGTATGAGTCACTGTTTGAGGAGTTGAATTTTTTATTTTGTTTTATTATTGTTTGAAATTAATATTTTTTGTAAATGGGAGCAGATGTCATAAGATCTTTTTCTTTTACTGCTGCCTTTTATTTTATTTTATTTGTATTTTGTTTTATGTAATGTTCTTTTTGTTTCATTTTGTTTTTTCAAATGAAATGAATAAATACTATAAACTAAAAAAAATGATCTGTGACAGGGTCACTCAACCAACCTATATAAAAAGAAATCCATTCAAGGTTTTTTTTTTGCATCACTGTTATCAAGCATTTGATTACCAATCAATGTCACAGTGGTAAGTTTTAATGAGGGAATTTGTCATGTAGTTTTGGAAGAACCTAAAGTCCCCAATGCAGACTGGTACACAAGGGCAAGAGAGCAAACTTGGACTTTAATGACAAAAAATAAACAGCTGACAAGACAGCATACTGAACACAAAGATGACTAAGCACAAAGAGCATGCAACTAACAGGACAACAGGCAGGTGACAAACAGAGTGTTGAGAACCTGGGTGTTTAAGTCGACTGGGAGGAGTGATTTCAAGTGGAAACAGCTGCGACTAATAAACACGGGACGCACCCGACGACTGAGGAAAATGGCTGAGAACATAGGGAGATGCTGGGAAATAAAACAAACTAAACAAAGGGAATTAAAAATAACCCTGACATTCCTGGAGTTATTTTGAATAAATAATTCCAAGTTTGTGAAAAAACTCAGCATGACAATTCTGTTAGCTCTATTTTACCTAGCAGCTGGTGCAAATTGAGCCCGCAAATTAGAAAATTATTTTGATCATTTGTAAAGCTTAAAGAAAAGTTAGGATTCATTTTGTTTTTATTAACCTA